TTGTTTTCATTTTGACTGGCAGGATCCTCTTGATGAAGTCAATATTTCTTAAGCTGAAGAAGAACTGAAGAAAAAAACTCAAGGCTTGTGATGAACTATTGAAGGATTCTAAGGGCAAAGTATTGAATGACACAGGAAGCATCAAAAGAAGATGGAAGGAATACACAGAGTCATTGTACCAAAATAAAAAGGTTACCTTTCAACCATTTAACAAGGTAACATATGATCAAGAACTGATGGTTTTGAAGTAAGAAGTCCATGCTGCCCTGGAGGCGTTGGTAAAAAACAAGAATCCAGAAACTGACAACTCTCTAGTTGGAATGATTTAACAAACTGCTGTAGTGCAGAAGGTGCTCACTCATCTATGCCAAGAAATTTAGAAGCTATCTACCAGTACATTAGACTGGAAGAGAACCATATTCCAAAGAAAGGTGATTCAACATAATGTGGGAATTATTGAGCAATCTAATTGATAATGAATGATGCAGAAAGAATCAAAAGCAGATGAAAGTTATATACATAGTCACTGTACCAAGGAGAAGGGGTCGATATTCAACCATTTCAAGAGATAGCGTATGATCAAGAACCAATGCCACTGAAAGTAGAAATCTAAGCTGCATTGAAGGCATTGGTGAAAAACAAGGCTCCAGGAATTGATGGAATACAAACTGAAATCTTTCAACAACCTGATGCAGCACTGGAAGCACTCACACATCTATGACAAGAAATTTGGAAGACAGCTACCTGGCCAACCAATTGAAAGAGGTCCATGTTTGTGTCCATTACAAAGATAGATGACCCAGTGAAATGCAGAAATCATTCAACAATATTGTTAATGCCACATGCAAGTAGAGTTCTAGTGAAGATAGTTAAAAATGACTGCAACAATAGGATAGGAAACTGTTAGAAATTCAAGCCAGATTCAAAAGAAGACATGGAACTAGGCATATTGTTGCTGATGTCAGATGAATCTTGGCTGAAAGCAGAGAATACCATAAAGATGTTTACTTGTGATTTATTGACTATGTGGATCATAAAAAGCTATAAATATGGGTATTCCAGAACACATGATTGTGTTCATGAGGCAGTTGTTCGAACAGAACAAAGGAATACAAATCATTTGAAATTAGGAAAGACGTGCGCTTGTATTCTTTCTATATGCTGAACAAATAATCTAGGAAGTTGGATTATATGAAGAAAAGCATGGATTGAAGGAAGACTCATTAACAGCCAGAGATATGCAGATGATGTAACCTTGTTTGTTGAAAGTGAAGAGGACTTAAAATACTTACTGATTTTAAGTAGGCTCAAAGACTACAGCCTTCAGTATGGATTGCACGCCAATGTACAGAAAGCAAAAATCCTCACAACTGGACCAGTAAATAGCATCACGATGCATGAAGAAAATAGTGAAGTTGTCAAAGATTTCATTTTGTTTGGATCACAATTAACACTCATGGAAGCACTAGTCAAGAAATCAAATGACATATTGCATTAGACAAATCTGCTGTGCAAGACCTCTTTAAAGTCTTAAAGAGCAAACGATATCAGTTTGAAAACTAAGGTGCACCTGATCTAAGCCATGGTATTTTCAATAACCTCATATGCATGTGAAAGTTGGACAATGGACAAAGAAGACTGTAGAGGAGTGGATGCATTTGAGTTATGGTATTGGAGAAGAATACTGAAAAGACTATCTATGGATTGCCAGAAGAACAAGCAAATTTGTGTAAGAAGTACAGCCAGAATACTTCTTAGGATCCTGGATGGCAAGACTTTGTCTCTTGTACTTTGGACATATTATCAGAAAGAACAAATCTCCGTTGAAAGATACTATGCTTTCATAATAAGGAGGGTCAGTGAAAAAGAGGAAATCCCCCAAAGAGATGGGTTGGCACAGTGGCAGCAGAAATGGACTGCTAACAATTGTGAGGATGGCTCAGGGCTAGGCAGTGTTTTGTTCTGTTGAACATAGGCTTGCTATGAGTCAGAACTGACTCTATCACACTAAACAACTGCCATTAATATCCAGGATAAATATGAAGATTTCTCCTCTTGCAAAGATTTACAGCCTTGGATATCCTGTGTAGAGTTGCTATTAGTTGGAAATGAATCAATAGTTCTTAACAACAATAACAATCATGAATGCCACATGCAAGTAAAATTTTTCTGAAGATAATTTTTAAATGGTTGTAGCTGTGCATTGACAGGGAACTTCCAGAATTTCAAGACAGATTTAGAAGAGAGCATCAAATTAAGGATATCATTGCTGATGCAAGATGGGTCTTAGCTGAAAGCAGAGAATATCTGAAAGATGCATTTGTTGTTGTTGTTGTTAAGTGCTGTCAAGTAGATTCTGACCCATAGTGACTGACTCAGCAAAGCCATTTAAATGCATGGATAATAAAGTATTATGGATAGCCGTGCCGAGAATGCGAATTCCAGAACACTTAATTGTGCAAAAAAAGGAGCATGTACATAGTACAACAGTTATGAAAACAGAATGATGACTTACTGCATGATTTAAAATCAGGATATGCATGTACCAGGGTTGAGTCTTTTCACCATACTTATTTAATCTGCAAGGTAAACAAAAATTTTGAGTTGAATTATATGGAGAAGAACGCAGCATTAAGATTTTAGGAAGACTCCTTAACAACCTGCAGTATGCAGGTGACACTACCTGGTTTATTGAAAGTAAAGAGGACTAATGAAGATCAAAGTTTGGATTACAATATGAAGAAAACAAAAACTGTCATAATGGGGCCATTAAGTAACACGATGAATGAAGAAAAAGATTGAAGTTGTCAAGGATTTCACTTGAATGCAAAATCAGAGCCTATGGAAGCATCAGTGAAGAAATTAAACAATGATTGCATTGGACTGATCTACTGCAAAAAAGACCTCTTTACAAAGACTAGGGTGTGCTTGACCCAATCACAATTTTTTTCAGTCACCTTATCTACATGCAAAAGCTGGACAATGAATAAGGAAATAAAAAATTGGAGCATTTGAATAACGGTTTTGGCAAAGAATATTGAATATACCAAGACTCCCAGAAGAATGAACAAATCTGAATTGGAAGATATACAACCTGAATGCTCCTTAGAAGTGAGAATGGCGAGACTTTGTCTCAACTATTTTGGACATACTATCAGGAAGGACCAGTCCCTGGAGAAGGACATCATCCTTAGTAAAGTAGAGGGTAGGTAATAGAGGAAGACACTCAAAGAGATCGATTGACCCAGTGACTGCAACAATGGGCTCTATCATTGGAATGATTGTGAGGATAGTACAGGGCCAGTCAGTGTTTTGTTCTGTTATACACGGGGTTGCTATGAGTGGGTACCAACTCAGTGACACCTAACAACGGTAATATTTATCTTCCAGAATGTTAAAACTCTGATGTTGTTCCTCAGGGAGGTAAAGATTTGGGAATTCCCATAATTATTTTAGGTTGACAGTGCTTTTGTCAAGGCTCTCTTCATCTGGCCATACACAGCTTTCCATGAATTTCTGGATAATCTTTCTATTGTTTCCCACAATTTGTTGTTGTTGTTGTGTGCTGTGGAGTTGGTTCCAACTCATAGCGACCCTGTACAATGTTTCTGAGGCTATAAATCTTTACGTGAGCAGAAAGCCTTATCTTTCTCCCGTGGAACAGCTGGTAGTTTCAAACTGCTGACCCTGAGGTTAGCAGCCTGATTCGTAACCACTATGCTGCCAGAGCTCCTTTCTATTGTTTCCCATGATTCACTGGGTCATAAATAATTATACAGATTGATCCAGTAAGTTTGGGCTACATTGAAGGAGCAGTTCTGGATGTCTGTGTTTGATATTTGTTCTGACCCCAGAGGGGCTCTTCTCAGATGACTCCTTTCTCAGTTGTCTTCTACAAACTAGCCAGCTTAGAATTTAGCCTGTGACTACACTGAATACTGAGTCCTGGTATGGTGCTGTGGGTTAATGTACTGGACTGCAAAGTCGGTTTGAACTACAAGGTAGGCAGTTCAAGCTCACCAGCTGCTCCTCAGAAACCCTATACAGGGTCCTATGGGTTAGAACCAGCTCAATGGCATTTGACAACAACTACACAAATCTCTTGCCAATTGTCCTCCACCATAACTGCCACTGTTTCTGAGAACACTCTTAGGCTTGAATTTATCCATATTCTGTTGTAAATAGATTGTGAAAAGACTAGAAACTGATTTTTCCAGCAAAATTTCTGTGGCAGGCCTCAAAGCTGAGGACAACGGCACACTTTCCTTTCTCTCTGACCACTGCTCTTTGGATATGAGTGCTCATTTGAGGGATGATTCTAGACTAAGATCTCCCCTAATATGTCTCCTGTTTACTCTTAGAATAAAATCTAAGCTCTTCATCATGAGCTACAATATCCCATATGAACTATTTACAGCCATTACATCATTCTCTTCTCCCAATATCTTCCTTCACTCTTTGCCCAGAAAATTCCAGCCTTATTTCTTTGCCTCAGGGTCGCTATGGGTCGGAACCAACTCGATGGCACTTAACAACAACAACAAAGCAAAAAAAAAAAACAAAAAAAGACTTACTTGCACCGCAGAGCCATAACACTTGCCATTCTTGCTGTGTTGAAATTCCAGGCTTACATCTGAGGTTTTCTTTGACTTTATCACATAAACTAACGCATGTATGATGCTTTAACTCATTACTGGGATTATTTCCTTCACTGGTATATCACAACCTGAATTTTTACTAGTTATATGTATACTGTGTCACTGTAATGTGCTTTAAAAAATAGCCTTTATAACTAAATTTATTTCAATTCTGGACCTTTCATTCAATAGTAAGTTACTTAGTTTTCAAAGTCATCATAGTAATATTTCTCATAGACTTATAATGATTTGCTGTGTAGTTCAATAAAGGCTTGACATATAGAATATCTATAGTAACTTAGTTCTGATATTGTAACTGTAATATTTTATGATCTAATAATTCTCTATTTGTAACTTTTTCAGGTGTAGGTTCATCTCCTCATATACATCTTGAAGGTGATGAAGTCCAGGGAATCCGGTTGTTGTGCACATCCTCAGGGTGGTACCCAGAACCCAAGGTCCAGTGGACAGCATCTAGTGGCCAGCAAGTGCTACCCTCGTCTGAGATAAAGCAGCAGATGGCCAGTGGTTTGTTTTATGTGAAGACAGCAATCATTGTGCTGAGTCATTTGGAGGGTAATGTGTCCTGTTTCATTTGTAACCCTATCCTGGGCATCAAGAAAGAAGCAAGGATTTCCATAGCAGGTCAGTTTCCATGTCCAGACTCACTGTTGTTGTTGTTGTTAAGACTCACTAGTCAATGTAAATTAGATTTATTCCTAGAATTTGGAAGAATAATTAAAGTCTATTTGTCTGTTCGCTTTTATTCCCTTTGATGTTGCATATTGAGTTTCAGTAACCATATTCTTCCTGTTTAGTTCCAATGTCCATCATGGGAATTATTCACTGGTTTCTTTTTTCTTGGTTCTTATTCATCTTTCAAAGGAGCTCTGGTAGCGTAGCGGTTACGAATCGGGCTGCGAACCTTAAGGTCAGCAGTTCGAAACTACCAGCCGCTCCGCGAGAGAAAGATGAGGCTTTCTATTCCCGTAAAGATTTACACCCTTGGAAACCCTGTACAGGGTCGCTATGGGTCGGAACCGACTCGACGGCACTTCACAACAACAACAACATTCATCTTTCAACAAAAATCATCTGAAAATAAAGTAGATTCCTATTATATTCCATGACTGATATATCTGTAAAAGGTAAGTGCAGAAGAAAAACATACTGTAGAGATTTTATATCAGGAAATATGTTTCCTACAAAATATTCTGAGAGGTAAAAGAAGTAAGATCTGAGCCAGATCTGCTGAATAAATTCCAGACAATATGATACTGCTTCATCAGTTAAGCATTTCTAAGGCCACCTTCTCTATGGTACAATTAAGAACATACCACTGTCAGCACTGCAATGTCCTCTGAACAGTAGACACCTAGAGCTATGCTCTTTGCAACTGGAAGCAACTGAAACTCTCCAAACGGCAAGGCTGAAGCCTTTGTCCCACATTTGCCTTTCAAGTCTCATGCAAGTATGTCTCACTGGCAAAATTTAATTTGCATTCAGAATGATTTTTATAACTACAGAATAGAATAATAAGCAGCCCATATCATTTAGCACATTATATGGAGCTCAACTTGTCAGTTTGTGGTACTGTGGTAACTTGCATTTGTCTATGAAGCTGGAAGCTATGCCATTGGTATTTTAAATACCAGGAGGGTTGCTAATTCACCACTTGTCATAGTGTGTTGGCTTGCATGTGGCTGTGGTGCTAGAAGCTATGCCACTGGTATTTAAAATACCAACAGGTTCACCCATGTGGAGAGGTTTCAGTGGAGCTTCCAGACTAAGACTAGGAAGAAGGATAGACGTACTCTTCTGAATATTTAGCTACTGAAAACCTTATGAGCAGCAGTAGGATGTTGTCAGACATAGTGTCAGAAGATTCAGATATTATGAATAGCACCAGAATATTGTCCTATGTAGCTCTGAAAGATGAGTCCTCATCTTGTTGCATTAGACACTAATGACCAAAGACCACAAGGGTTATGGAATGACATCAAGCACATAACACAGGGAGAAAGCAAAAGTTCATCAAAAAGACAGGAAGGAAAGAAATTATCTAAACAGATTTCAGAAGAGATTCTGAAATTTGATCTTGAGTGTAGGGAAGCTAAAGCAAATGTAAGAAATGAGGAAGTAAAAGAGCTGAACAGAAATTTCTAAGTGTAGTGCAGGAAGATAAGGTCAAGTATTAAATAAAATATGCAAAGATCTAGAGTTAGAAAACCAAAAAGGAAGACCATGCTCAGCATTTCTCAAGATGAAAGAACTGCAAATTCGAAGGATTGGTGTGACAATGTAGGATAGAAGCTCTGGACTACTAAAGGCAAGGTTGACAGTTCAAACCCAGCAGTCTCTCCTTGAAAACCCTGTATGCTTTCATGTCTGTGCAAAGCCTTTTGACTGTGTGGATCATGACTGACTATGGGCAACATTAGGAAGAAAGGTTATTCCAGAACACTTAATTGTGACTCATGAGGATCCTGTACATATACCAAGAGGCGATTGTTAGAATAGAACAAGAGGATACTAAATCCTTTAATACCAGGAAAGGTGTTCTCCAGGTTTGTAAACTCTCACCATACTTTTTTCAATCTGTATGAGCAAATAATATGAGAAACTGCATTATATGAAGAATAACATGGCATTAGGATTGGAGGAAGACTAGTGTACCACCTGAGACATGCAGATGATATATACCTTGCTTGCTGGAAGCAAAAAGGACTTAAAATACTACAGGCTTCAGTACAGATTAGATATCAATGTAAAGAAAACCAAAAGTCCTCACCACTGGACCAATAAATAACACCATGTTAAAAGAAGAACAGATGGAAGTTGTCCAAGACTTAATTTTGCACAATCAACACTCATGGAAGCAGCAATCAAATGATATATTATAAGTAATCAAATCTGCTTTAAAGCCATTAAAGTGTTAAAGGTATCAGTCTGAGGACTAAGGTGCACCTAATCCAAGTCATGGTATTTCCAATAGCCTCATATGTATGTGAAAGTTGGACAATGAATAAAGAAGACTGCAGAAGAATTGATACATTATATTATAGAGATGGGGAAGCATATTGAAAATTCCATGATCTGTTCAAAGAACAAACAAATCTATGTTGGAAGAAGTACAGCCTGAATGATCCTTAGAAACAATATTTTGGACATGTTTTCAGGAGGGACCAGCCACAATGGGCACTGGCATGACAGATGACACTGGGCAGTATTTAGTTGTGTTGTTCAGGGTAGCTAGGAGTCACAATCTACTCTGTGACACCTAAAAATGTGGTTCTGAGCACGGATGGCATGACCAACATCTGATTATGTAATTGTTTGATGATTTATTTCTTGCTTACCAGGGTATTTTTCTGATTTCTTACACTAGTTCTTTCTTATATACCTGCTTTACTTTTTTGAATAATACCCCATTACCCATTAATTGACACAGTTAGGTTCCAAAGACTAGGTCAGTATTTGAAAATCAGGACAAATGGATGATGAACATATCAGATCACAAAATGGAGGATGACTACATCATTATATAACTGTCTAATTACATGTTTACATAACAATTAAATTTCAAAAGTACATAACTGCCAAATCACTGAGAGATTATGGCCCAGCCAAGATGACATATAACCTTAAGCACTTCATACCTCTGTGTTTGTTGCTGCCAAATGTACATTTTTAATGTGCAAAATAGTCAATTTTATTTTACTGTTGTCATAGAAATGGTGAATAATGAGTTCTTTAGGCTGGGTTCTCTAGAAAAAACAACAAAAAACTCCCAATAATTTATATAAGAGAAAGGTGAGGCTTTCTGTTCCTGTAAAGACTTATAGCCTTGGATACCCTATACAGGGTTACTATGAGTCAGAACTGACTTGACAGCATTTAACAACAACAATAAATGTATACTTCACTGATTTCTACTAGTTTTGTTTCTCTAGAGAACTAGTATACCTGTGAGAGAGTCTGTACATATATGTGTGTGTGTGTGTGAATAAGTATGTATATATATATATATATACACACACACACATATGCTTGGTGATGTGGAGGGTCAGTGAAAAAGAGGAAGATGCCCAACAAGATGAATACAGAGGCAGCAGCAATGCATTCAAACATAGCAGCAATGGTAAGGATGGTACAGTACAGGACGATGCTTCATTATTTTGTCCATAGAGTCACTGAGTTAGATGAAGCTCTATAGCACCTAACAACAACACACATGCGTCACAAAACCACTGAAGTCTGTATACATATTTACCTTACTGGTGTGGCACTGTAGGATAAACACTAGACAACAAGGTCAGTTTAAACTGCAAGGTTGGTGGTTCAAATTTATCAGCTGCTCCTTGGAAAGTCTATACAAGGTCGCTATGAGTTAGAACTTAACAGCAACCACAATATATATATATAAATATATTTATTCATGGAGCTCTGGTAGTGTAGTTGTTACTAATTGGGCTGCTAACCTAAGGGACAGCAGTTTGAAACTACCAGCTGTTCCACGGGAGAAAGATGAGGCTTTCTGCTCCCATAAAGATTTATAGACTCGGAAACCCTGTACAGGGTCACTATGAGTCGGAACTGACTCCATGGCACATAACCACCATATATACATACATACATACATACCATATATATATACACACACACATATACCATATATATACCATATATAATTATATATATACCACATATTCCACACATATATACCATATATAGAATGCCACATATATACCACATATATATCATACACATACCACATATATATCACATATATACCATATATATATATATATACACCATATAATACCACATATATATACCATATATACATATACATACACAGACACACACATGCATATATACACACACACACACACACACACACACAGGCATTTGTCAAAAATTATCTGCACTCTGCTTTTATTAACACTCTGTTGGCTGCACTGTCATATCAGTGCTTTTCATTCAATATCACTATTGTGCAGGTGTGAACCTGGCCATCTGCAAACAGATTTTGGATTGATATTCAAAGGAAGATAAAAGATTATTTTTAAAAAATTTGTTACTGGTAATGAGACATGAATTCATCACTACAAGCCTGAGAGTAAATAGCAGAATATGAAATGGAAACATCCTCAATGGATGACCAAGAAAAAGTTCAAAAGTTAGCTATCAGTTGAAAAATTGATGCTTGTAGTTTTCTGGGATTCTCAAAGGCCAGTATTGGAATATTATCAGGAAAAAGTTTCAATGATCTACAGTGCTTATTGCAGTGAGATGCTCACTGTGGAGCTGAAGTCTAAACCTTTGGATTTAAACTTTTGGATTAAAGTGCTATCCAATGGTGGTGTGATCTTGCATGAAAAAGCATGTTCACTCACCTCTGCCCATACTGTTAACACGCTGCAAAAAGTTCATTTTGAGGTGTTAAAGCATCCTCCCTATAGTCCTGATCTTGCTTCCCTAGACTTACACTTGTTTGGTTCCCTGAAAGCAGTACTGCTGGGATGAAGATTCAATTCTCAGGAGAAGTGAAGACAGTGATGCATTCGTGGCTT